CACGCTTTTGAAATCTTTTCCCAGAACCTATCGTTTCCGATTTTCCAAAATTATTAAAATGAAGTATCAAGGCCAACGTCTTTAAAACATCATTACTGATATGGGAAAGACATCCTATTTCTTTTTTCCAAAAATGGAAATTCACAGAATATTTTATATTTTATATATTTTATTTTTTATATTTTCACTTCTTTATCTAAAATGGGTCATTTTACGTCGATAACAACGGTACATTAAAGGGAAGCTCAGTCTACTTGATGCCAGAGGACTGTCAATGTTTTTTCTCAATACAGCTTTCAACCAAATAATAAACCAATTTTTGGTCACGTTTCTTGTGAAGATTACGGCTGTCTTAGACAGCCGTATCTTAAACTGAGTGGTATACATCACGCTTTTAAAACTATCAGGTCTGAACTCGTCATTTTTCATTTACTACAATTGTAAACTTGCAAGACTTAGCCTGTTTAAAATGTCATCACTGTGAAAGGGAAAACTTCCTTGAAGTTTTTTTTTCGCATTTGAAAGATGAAAAATTAAAGAAAAACTACCAGCAAAACTAGACCGCATCAATACTCGCACCATGCATTCATGACAAAAAAAATAAAATACGTAAGTGTCCATTTACCTTTCAAAGTTGAGTTTCTTCGATGATGGAGTAATTTTCTTGCGAACTTAAAGCGTGACAGGCGCACAGAGGGCGCACAGTGCTAGTACTGTTTTGGCATACTATCAAAACAAATAAGTATTCAAGTGTTTGACGACCAATTATTAAGGCTATTGAAACAAAAGAGCAAAGGCTTACTAACAGATTGTCATCTTTTAATCAACTATTAATGAAAAGTTTCACTTGAAACTTAAATTAGCACAAACCAGCTGAAACCATACGAAAACAGAATTAACTTTATCCCGGGGAAGAGTCCATTTATCATCAATCACTTTTACCTCGTCCGATCACATATATCTATTTTATATTATTAAAGTAGAGCTCACAGAGCCAACCATACCTATAAAATTTGCTAGTAACTCATTAAGCCGAGAAAAAAGTTTTCAAATGACCGTACTACTAGTGGAATCAAATTTGAAGTCATTCAAATAATGTGCAAACATTGACCAATATATCTCTCTGTTCATCTGCTTTAAAAACAATTATTGCAAGGTTTATTTCGTTGTTCGATCTTCTCGTGAAAAATGGAACTTTCAATCGACAGAGTTGTGCTGTTGTTCTTTTGCGCTAAGCGCGTGTTGCGTCATCCTCGGAGACTCGGGCTTTGAGTCGGTTTCAAGTCAGGGCGTGAGGTAGGTAGACAGGATGATCTACCTAAGGTCTCTTCTTTCACAAGGAGTTCGTGGAGTTGTTGCTAGCACTAACGATTGAGTTTTATCACTAGCGATTGATATTTTAGCACTAATGACTGAGTTTTATCACTAGCGATTGATGATATTGGCACAAGTGGCTCCCCATAAGAAGTGGAAGTTTGGTCAGAGAAACCACTTTTTCTGTTCCAAACCTCTCATGGCTTTGTCACATGTTTCCAAGGCTCCTCCTGGTTTGACATATCAAAGCGCATACAAAATGCCAGTTACGCTGGCAATAGGGGGAGTTCCAACTCATTTCAGCTTTTTCTTTAAAGGCTTGTAAAAGCTAGGGGTGATAGCTTATCCCCTTTAAATTGGTTAAGAGCTTAAAATTTGAAAACAACTAGCCTGTTCCAGGTGTTCGGTCAGTAAAACAGAGCACAATAGTGAACAGCACATAGTAGTAGTAGAGCGAAAATAGAATCAAGGTTTCCACTATTATCCAACTCAACCCAAAACCTCCCTCCTCTTTTCGCTCTGCAGCTACTCTCGCTCAGTTTACCATCATGCTCCATTTTTCTGACTAAACTGCTTTAACAGGGTGTAGGACATGCGTTTCTCTTTCCACAGGAAAGTTTGAATAAAGTCAGGGAGAAGTTTGACGGAGGTTTAGCATCAATAATGAGTACTAGACCCCTTGCTGACTGGATTGCGTCACACAAGGCCTAATATTCTCCCGCAAACAAAGAACCACTCGTGCGGAAACGGTTATCCCTTTACTGCCTTAGGGAAATGCCAAATTTTTCTAAAACGAGAACGAT